AACCAAATGAGAATGCGCGCGAACTGGTAGCATTTGGCGAGAAAAATCCCAAATGAAAATATCCGCAAAAACATCACTATTGTGACCTTGTAAAACCCATACAATTGACAGCCTCGCATGTCTGAGCATGTTGCAAAGTAAATATGATCCGTCCCTTTGTGGGTTTGGTTTCTCGGTACCACGAGAAATAGTCCTTATTATTATTGCTATTTTTATTACATTTTTATTATTATCACTCAATCTGCTGTTATGCGCCATTTGGAAAATTCTGTTTTGCTCCAAGAAAATATTCCATACTAACATCATGACATTTACCGAATTTTCCATAAACCAGAGTGTCGCATATGAGTTTTCAACATTACATCTTTAATATTACATGTGTAAGGAACAAAACAAGTGGTATGACATTTTGTGCGCTACTCCGTATCTCGACAATCGCATTGTTACGAAGTTAGTACACTTCCTAATTCATGACATGCCTTATAGTTAAAAGCCAACGATAATTAAATACAATTTTAAATAGTACTGATGAGTTTTGTGTAATCCCAGACAACTGGCTGGATGTTGCCGCACAATGAGTGTTATCTTGAGGCTGTGAAAGTTAAAAAATTGGGGTTTCTAAGGGGAAGAGCAGTGATGCCAACATTAAAAATGCAGTCATCAAAACGACAGATATCAACATAACCACTGGGAATCACGGATTTGCGTCTGTTAGGCGTTGCGGATTGCTTAAATTGTGCTAATCAAGAGTGGGGGTCATAAGAAATGGAAAGATTCAAAGGGGACCACGACTGAATAAACGTTGAGAATGCCTGGTCTAGTACATACTGATATTTGTTCCCGTTGCATTTCAAACTGGTGTGTGGTCAAGCTACACATCCTTTCTGTGTGACGAAGGATTTACAGATAAGTCAATACTTTCTTTATGTTATCACAAACTACGTATTGCAGGAATCTAATATGGTCTCAGCTTGCTTAGGAAATTATCCAAACGGAAAAACCCTAGTTGGCAGAAAATTCCTTTGGTTTTCCAGTGCAT